TGCCAATGGACACATACAACTACCTACCATCATCAGGAGGAGCAGATGCAGTAGCAGCAGCAGTGGAAACAGAAGCAGCAGCAGAGCCTCCTCGTCATCATCATCATCTTCTTCTTCATCATCATCACGACTATGACAGGATAGGGGAAAGTCAGGACGAGGACGAGAATAACTTTATGCCTGCCCCTTTCAGACGACCATCAGCAGCATCAGCGGAACCAGCCCTGGAACGCCTCAGGGGATTGGGACTCAGGATCACCCAGCATCGCGCACCCCCGCCTTGGAATTTCCGCAGAATGCAGCCAGTAGCAGCAGAAAGGTACAACCATGGGAACCCCTTCTTCAGTGGCGGCAGGGACAGGCTTTATGATACCATGAGGAGAATCGCGGGGTTTCGAGCTTATTGATCATTGCTGGATTCTTGATTACAGCACAAAAATACATACTGCTGAAGAGAGAGTTGCAGTAATGTATATCTATACTGTATATGCACACTTTCAGCCAATAATAAAAGAAAAAACTGTGTTGACCTTCACTCATCCCAATGTGCTCTTTTCTATATATACAGTCAACCCCCGTCTAATGGACTTGATTTGTGCAAGGGACAAGTCTGTTGGACAAAAAGTCCTTTACAGAAATTCAATTACATAAAACATTAAAAATTTCAATTTTCAACACTAATTTTAAACCAAAAGAAGTCTGTTTGGTGGATTTTGTCTGTTGAGCGGGAGGAAAAACTGCTTGCAGAGCTGGTCTGTTTGGCAAAAATCCTTTACACAGGAGGTCTGTTAGGCGGGGGGCCACTGTATATGAAGTTGCTATATATACTGTATATAATCTATATATATATATATACTGTATTTACTCAAGTACCACGCGCCATCAAGTGAGGTGCACACAGGGGTTTTTCAGTTGCAAATTTTGCTAAAATCTTATCCCCAAGTAAGACGTGCACCCCAATTTTTAGTGAATCTGAAACCACAAAATTTCAAAAATCCAAACAAAAAATTGACTTGATACACAAATTGAACAAAAATCTGATCAATTTTCAACTGTTTCAGTGCAATAAAGTTCTCTTGTTACATTTGTTCCAAATTTCTCCATTATAATTAAGTATGATGCATGCATAACTTCCTAAAAATTCTTGAAAAATGTGTACCAGCTTATGCCGCGTGCCCCATTCTTTCTTCTGAAATGTGAGAGAAAAGGTGCACCTGGTACTTGAGTGAATATGGTATATATAAAGTTGTTTGCAGCAATTTTCACCAGGCTTTTCCTAGAGCCCACAGGTATTAGGGTGCAGTGAACCAGTTGCAAAGGTCCCTGGTTCAATCTCGCCCCTTGAAATCTTTTTTTTATTGTTTCTTATTCTTATTTCTAACCTGCTCAATTTTAAACCTCTTTCAACCAAGAAAAATTCAAAATTTTCAGAATTGTATAGTGCATCCAATGCAAGTTTCAAAATTAAAATTGCAATTTGGTAAACTTACTTAAACTTTTCATTTTCAACTATGAAGCCTTTGACATTGAAATTTACTTCCATTTATCCATATTTAAAAATCTTGCTCATGATGTCAGGGTTGGCAGAAATATTTATTTTGAATATAAATATTTTTAAATTTTAAAAAATATCTTTCTAAAAAGTTGACAGAATGTTTTCTTCTTGTGTCACTTGCCCTGGTGAGGCTGGGCACCAGCCCCTAGTATATAATAAACATGTGTGAAGATGATCAGTTATTCAAGTTGCATGTATGTTGGTATTGAGACAGAAAAGTTTTGAATCACTTCTTTAAATAAAGAAAACTGCAATCAGCCAGGCTACAGCCAGGGTGCTTGACACACTAGTGTAAGGTTGGTATATTCGACAAAAGCCAAGAGGTTTTCAATGCAATCAAATGTAGATGAGAGTTTGGTGTCTTTTGTGTGAGACTGCCAAAATGTGACTGATACCAAAACAAGAAGTTTAGGCAACAAGAAATTTCTCCCAGGATCATTTTGTCCTTGAGGACTGCATGATCAAAGGAAATCTCAAGGATATTGGAAAAACGGTGGGAACTTGAGGTCAAACTTGGTCCCATGGGATTCCTGAAGGATCAGGTTTCCTTCAGAAGCTAAAGGATCTATCTTCTTCCCAATTTGTATTTCTAATTTCCATCAGGTGGTTCATGAAAGATGATAAGTTTTGCTTAAATCTTCTTAGGCAGATATTTACATGAAAAATTTCAGTTAAGAATGGCATCAAACAATTAGCAAGGTGGGCTTGAAGAAAGATTCCTCTTAAAAAATTAAAATAATTCATTTCAGCAGGTGAAAAGTTGTCTGCATGTGACTGTATTACCAGAAAAGCCAACTTTCTTCACAGAATTTGACTGCCATTGTCTTTGTAAAATTTTTGGTGAATAGAGCAGACTTCATTCAGAATTTTGATAAATTTATTATGCTGAAAATTTCCTTCAGACTGGCACAATACTTTTGCACACCAGCAGTGGTCTGCAGCCCATGGGTTTGGGAACACTGAACTATCATTCAAAAGGTATGTTAAATCATCATCAGGTGATGCTTGACCATGAGCTGGCCTGACATATTCATTCCACCAGCACTGAGTTGGTCAGCTTGCATGAGAATAACCAATGCATCTTCTTTCCATTACTCAACAATCAATTTGGAGCCACATTGCACTCTGTCCATATGACCATTTCCCTGAAACAGGTCTATAGCATTTGTCTGAGCAGGTTTGTCATGACAGTGAGGCTATCGAATAAATTACAATATACATAAGTTATTAAGACAAGGGTACTACTGATGCTCCATATAGAGATATATTTCTTTGGATGAAATTTTTGGCACAGTCATGAACTTGGTACAGGAGTACAGGACTTGAGGTGGAGGGAGGAAAGTTGCACAGTAGAGTCTTGACTCTTGAGACACTTCATTTGAGAAGGCTATTTCCATTAAACAATATTTCCAGCAGGAGTTGAGAAAATTGGACAAAAATGGGCTGTTTACAGAATTATCATTTAAAATGTTCTGGTCAACAACTTCTTGAAGAGTACAGTTATATGCTTTCACTTGTACACATATAGTAATGCACCATTAGCATTTGTACAAATCTTGTCTCCGGTTGTTTTTGGGTGCATCATTCTTCTGATGACTTCTCATTGATGGTGTAAAAAGGAAATCCAATTTCTGTAGCCAACACCTTGTATATCAAATACCTTTCATAAATACTGTGAGTTGCTTACATGTTTTACTGGCAAGGGGTCTGAGCTGTCTTCAACTTAACTTGTACAAGGCACAATAGGTAAACCAAAATCCAAGATGTCCAAATAAAAAACATGAATACTCCCAAAGCTGAAATCAAACACTCCCAAGTTCTAAACAATAGCAACAAAGTGCCAAATTAAAGCTTTTTAAATTATTTATGGCATCCAATTCAATGTATGACTTGTACTTGAGACAAATTGATCCCAAAAAAAATTGCCAAAGGCTGTTTACCAGCATTGAAGAAGTTTGAGAAAATGAAGGTGGTGAACTGTAAAATCAAATCTTTTTCCAGAACGCCATGTAGGGATCAGATTAGAAGCTTTGTCATGAATGTGCTTAATATGAAGAATTTCAAATTTGTAGCTATTGGACAGGGATTTTTAGAAAAACTTCCTTGTCAGCAATAATTTTTATAGACAAGGTTTGTTGTTATGTATGACTATTTGTGCAATTATGTGTTGCATAGTTATGCATGTTTTCTTCTTCAAGGTTTCTCCATGACATTTGAATATTCGAGGCTTTCTGAATGCAAAAAATCTTTCTGGCAGAAACTTGTTGGGAAATTAAGGCCTGAGACCCAAGTGTTATCTGCTCTTTGGGGAGGAACTTGAATAAACAGAAAAAAATGACGGAGTATATATGCAAATGTATGGCTGGAGCCAAAGAACAACAAAAACAGGGGCCAAAGAAGAAACACATCAATGAAGCAAGAGCGAGAGAATTAATTTTTCAATAATAAATCTTTTTTTCCGTTTTCTCATCAGATAAAATCTCAACCCACCAAACAAACAAACAAGCAAAATATGGATCAAGAAAAAACAATAATGCATTACATGCATGATTCCTCTGTTTTCTTTTTCTTTTTTTCCTTGAATCCGTTTTTTTTTTATCCCACATTTCATCTTTCCCTTTTCTCTCTCTCTTTTTCTATATTCTCCTCCATAATTAAATTCTTTTCTTCTTTTTCTTCCACACGCCCGACCACGCTTCGGTTTTGGTAATTTTTTTGTTTTGTTTTGAAATCCTTTGACAAGCCCGTGAAACGTCATGCCGATTCTTTCCCCCCCTTCCCCCCCAACACTCTGCCAATTCTGATCCCCCGCCTTCTTTCACACTTACCACGCACTGATTACATAGGCCACAAATTCACGTGATGAATCAACACGCCAACGATTCTGAATCCACTCCAACTTGCTTTGTGAAAAAAACAAAACTCGAAACAGAAGGGAAAAATAGTAAATCACTCCCGGGAGAGAAAAAAACAAACAGAGAAACCAAAATCCAAAATAACACATCGATGCAAACGCCGACCAAAAAAAAAAAACAAACAAACAAACGTACTGTATGTACTTGTGCAAAAAAAAATTCCCTTCTTGAACTGAAACCTCGGAATGTTTGAAAGACTCTTGAAGAAATTCTTGCGAGAGAAGAACAAAAAAAAAAAAAAAAGAAATGGCGTGCAATTATTTGTTTCTTTCTCCACATCGTACCCCGGAGCACATTACAATACATACGCCCATTTCTTTCCTGCTTTTTTTTTATATGCCAAGGAATATTTGGATTAAAATCTTCGCACCAAACAATTTTCTTTTTCCTCTCAACTCAAAAACGACAAAAAAAAACTCCTCGTCACAGCCAGTATCACACACCATGAAAAACACCTTGTGGGGGGAGGGGAAAAAGGGGGAGAAGCGTTTTTGCAGGAAAAATATAGAACCGAAATCTTAAAATCTCTTTTTTTTTCTTTTCTTCTTTGGAAGCCGTGAAAAAGGAAAACCAGATCCTTGCGCTCAGGGGGGGGGGGGGGGGGGGAAAAAAAACCCCATTTTTGGAAGTAAANGGGGGGGGGGGGGGGGGGGGGGGGGGGGGGGGGAAATAAAACCTCATTTTCTGAAGTTAACTATTTTGTTTTCTGGCGTGCGCCAAAAATACTGTCAATAACTTAAAATCGCGTCGTTCTGCCTTGGGAATAAGTCGGACAGGAAAAAAAAATTCAGAAACAAACGAACGGAAATGAATATTTTTTGAAACGAACGAATAAAACAAAGGCAGCCCTTGTGTCTTTCAAGCGCCGCGTGGAACAATTCCACTGTGTAAAGCTATCATCAAAAATGTCCCTCACTCGCGTCTGGAATGATTTTTCCTTTCTTCTTCTTCTTTTCCAGGTTGAGAATAAGAGCAGCAGGAAAACAAAAAAGGGGGGGTGATCAAAGCGTGGTCTCTAAAACATCAACGTCTAAAGCACAGCTTTCTCCCGAAATCAAAATCAAAAACAAGCGACAAAAACTTATTTTTCCTCGTGTCCCAGCGCAAAAAAAAAAAAATATTTATCTTGTTTACTCCATCCATGATTCGCACCTGAAATCTCGCGTTTTTCCTTCGGATTCTTTTTAAAACTTCCAATATCCCATTTTTCTTCTTCTTATTTTTTTTCTTCTTCCTGTTCTTCCGGTTTCTTTCTTCATCTTGGTTGCATAGTTTCGGTCAGTTCAAATCTTGGTTGGTTGGTTGGTGGCGGCGATGAGTGATATTTGCAGTTTCAGTCTTTCAACTTATCTTTCTTCAATATCGTGTCGAATGAGAGGGAAGGTCGTCGCCTTCAGTCTGCGACCCGTCGGACATGGCGTATTCGAAAACTACGGTCAGGAGGACGACCAGCAAGGTCAGCACCGCTACCAACAGCAAAGCCCACTGCTCCACAGTCCATTCGCGTTCCAGTGCCTGATATTAAAGGGAAAAAATACAGTATATAAATATATAAAAAATATATAAATTTATTAAAAATATATAAATATATAAAATATATATCAATATATTAAAAATATATAAATCTAAAAAAATATATAAAAAATAGATAAATATATAAATATATTAAAAATATATAAATACATTACAAATATATAAATCTATAAAAAATAAAAAATATACAAACAATAAATAAATATAAAAATATATATAAATATAAATAAATATATAAAAAAATATATAGACACGTGTAAGAAAAAATTCAAATATTTTAAATCAAGAAAAAAGCAAAATATAAGCAAATGGGAAAACTTCTACTCAAGAACCAATTCCCCGGTCTACCATCAAGATCACAATTTCATCTCTAGAGAAATTTCCATCCAAAATTTGCATATTGCATCATTTTTTCGTTCATTTTCAAGGTGTGCCAAATAAATTAAAAAATGAAAATGGTCAAAATTCCGTAAATGAGGTTAATTCAAAAAAGAAAAGCAAATTGAAGCAGGTAATGGGGAAACTTTTATGCAAGAACAAATTCCCCGTCAACAACCAGATCACCTTTTTAATTACATTATATAAACTTCACATCCCAGCAAAGAATCAGCTATTTTCCAGCCAGGCGTACAGTTGCATTTTAACAAAGCAGGCATAAGGAGCATAGGGTGCTCAGCTCAGCACATTCACCGATAAAAACATTCGTATTCCAAAATGGGTAGTTTCAGTGGTGATCACCCATATTTTTTCAACCCAGTACCCATATTCCAATACAGGTGACTGCTACCCACGTATGACGGGGGATTTATGGATGGAAATACGGGTAAATTTTTTGCTGGGATATGCAGTAGAGCGGACCAGGAAGTATTATTCAAAATTGGCAGTTTTCATCCAAGTAGACTCACGGTTTGGTAACTCTTTTCAGAAGTGAATTCTGTGTTCCAATTGACCATATTGGAACCATGGCACAAAATATGAAAAATTTGAAAAGCAACAATTCAAAAGCAGTTGGAAATCACAGTTCAATTTAATGTAATTTCAGATTTCAAAAGCTTTGGAACTTCTTGAAACATCCTCATATTTAAGACTTAGTCCAACATTTTGCAGTAAAAAAAATGCGAAAAACGTAGTCAGAATTTGAAAACAGAAAGTATGAGACAATTTTTCAAGGGTAAATATCTCCACCTACTCTCAGATAAAATGTAAAAGAACTGTGTTATATTTGCGTGTTTCATTTCATTGTACAGCATATGTTTGCCATTGCCAATATAAAAAAAAAGGAAACTACTTTTGCAAAGTTGTCAAAAGAGAGAACACAACTACTCTATTTGAAGTTGTCACACATAAAAAAAACGAATAATATAAATTTGAAATATAAATATAAAGTTGTAATACATTAAGAGACTCAGAGAAATATTACCTTCTTTGTCTTTGTTGTTAGGAATGATTTTAATCAGAATAAATAGCATTTAAATAAAGGAGACTAAGAATTTGGTTGGGCTAAGACTGGGGTGAAATTTCACCCTTTTATAAGGTTGTTGTAATTTGTACACACATAAAATCTCTAAATTGCTCAAGTGTCGAGTACAATAAAGAGCTCAAAAAGAAGCAAAGTTTTGTGAGTGAAGATGAAAACAGAAAAAACTATCCTTCAAGGATAAATAACAGTTTTGGAATTCCCAGAAATTCGGCAATGAAGTAAACCTTGGAGGTTTTGAGAAAATGGGCATGTGAACCAGAGTTTCTCCCGGTTCACAAAAATATGTATGAAGACAAGTTTTCCAAGAATTTGGAATGGATTCTTGAGTTCGTTATTTAGCATGAAAAATTATAATTTACCGTTTATTTTCGCGACATTTGTAAACTTTCTCATTTTTAAATTTTTGAAAAAAAAAGGTTGCTGAAGTAGGCAAAACCAAATTATTTCAAACTCTCAACACAAACATAATTGAATATTCTACTTTCTACTGCATATTTGACATTAGGCCAGCAAGATAAATGTTACGCCTTTTTGTCTTCAAAGGTCATTAAACTTTTCATCTCGCACATATTACGATTGTTGTGGCCAATTTAAATACTGTACAATACATGCACAAACATGACATCAAAAATTCACATCAGAAATTTCTCTCAACGACCAAAATCGACACTTGAAAATGTATTCCGTCCAAAAAATAAAAAATAAATTCAAATGACGTTCCCAGCATACAACATAAAAAAACACATGCACGCAAAAAAAAAAACAAAATAAAGGAGAGGCCGAAAAATAAATAAATAAATTGGCCTGCACTAAATGTATACTCACGGGACGGGCGCCAGATTCGTCGCCGGCGACGCCGTCCTTCCCAGCACCGCCGTCCACGGCGTCGGCCACACTGACACTCGGTACACGAAACGGGGTCCACTGAGACCAGGGCCCCAAAATGGGGCCCAGGATCGACGGCGGCGGCACGGGCTTGGCCACGGCGTCCCCAGTGCCGTCAAAGTCGCTGCTGTCGTCGCCGTCGTCCCCGTCCGGCGCCGGGTTCGGATTCGGCTCGCGGACGGCGCACACCCGAAACGCCAGTTCCCGGTCCGTCGGCGCCACTTGGTGATACGTGAAGGACGACTCCCGTCCCGAATAAATCTGTCGGACATAGAAAAAAATATATAAATAAATAGCGTTGAGCTACGATAAAAAAAAAATCGATTCGATCCTCCCTCAAGTCGCCTGTTGTTAATAAGGGCTATAATGCCAGAAATATATTCTTGACAAGAAAGGAAAAAAAATTCCTTCCGATTGAAAATTCAGATGATTAATGAATCAGTATTTAAGTTCAGATAATTGAGCTTAGAACTGGAACACAGATGAATACAGGAAAGAAAACAGCTGGATCAGCCAGGACTGAAAAGTCCTAGTATAAAGATTTTATATTTTTCCTTTTGAGAATCAGAGACAGATTTTAACAAGTCCAAAAATGATTAACACAACTTCAATTTGGTACAAGAGAATAGGATAAAACGCAACACAAAAACCGAACTCTTTCAAGGTCAGCACAATTCAAAGATCAAGACTCGATTGATTTTTCTGCTGGTTTTCAACAAACAGGAAGATTATTTCAATGAAGAGAAGAATGCAGAAAAAGGTCTTTTGTGTTCAAGAATTCAGCAAAAATAGATGTAGAAGGACTGAACAAATATTGGGAGGAATATTGTGGGAACTCAAGGTCAAATATGGTCCCACTACATTCCTCAAGGATTAGCGTCTTTCGCTAAACTTGGTAAATCTGCAGTTTCTAAACACCCCTTACTTTTATTTTTGACACATAATACATGTAACCAGATTTTACCATAAGTATATGCCGTTATCAACATTTTCCGAAAAAATGGAATACAGGATACGCGAGTCGATAGAAGAATGGGAAAGAACATTAAATTGGACTGACCTCTACTGGGTCAGAGGCAGCAGTTCGAGACACTTGTAGTCGGTAGGAGATCAGATCCGATCCCGGAGCAGGTTTCGTAGGCTGCCAGTCGATCACACAAGCCCCAGAAGCGTCCATCGTCACTTTCGGCGCTGAAAAATGCAATAAGAGTTAACAAAACAATTCAACATAATGCTTCAAAGTATTATTTTTTTTTAGAAATTGCGAATAAGGCAGATTTAGAATCTAGAGATACAGTTGAATCTCGATAACTCAAACCTCACTACATCGATTTTTTTTTTTTTAAGTCCCTATCTCAATTCCCTTATAGAAACAATGTATTGAAAACCTCTCTCACCGGGAGGCTTTTCCTCTCAAAGCTCCCTAACCCAAATTTTCTGAGGTCTTTCATGGGTTTTATTTTCTTGAAGCAGGAAAGAGAAGAGCTATCAAAAATTTAACTTGATGGGTTTTGAAAGGAAGATAAAACCCAATTGGGCAAATATTTAAATCCTTTCAACTTATTTCAATAAGCAACTCGAGGCCCAGAATATTAAAAATTACAATTTCCTGCAATTCCTCCATCTTTCTGACAACAATAACGCTTTATCCACTGACTTGAATTGGTTTGCTGAACCCTTGATATTTAGCAAAAAATTCATCCAATTTTCAAAAGTGTATAAGTGGTGTAACACCTGCAGCATAAATACATTAAGTTTGCGCATCGCCAGAGCACCTTCTTGTGAATCTTGTCTTATGTCCAGCATTTCATACTGATAGAAACAAGCTTAAGAAAGATTTACAAGTACTGGAATTCAATGAAGAGACCCTTTCTGAAATCTTAAAAGGATCAAGATAAACTGTTGGCCTTATATGATTTCTCATCAAAAATTCTCTCTAATTTGTTCATTCAACTAAACCTCATACAGAAACAAACTGAAGACCTTGTGCTTTAAATTAATTTTTACATATATTTTGTTAACAATGTCAGGGAATGAATGGGTGTATGCATACATTCCAGATGTCCAGTTGTATTTCAAGTTGTATTGTAATTTCTTTTATTTTTTATCAATTTGTGCTTTCCTGCTCTGAAGTGATTAAATGTCATTGAGTGGATTTGGGTTGGGTGGGAAGGGGGTTTGGTTGCAGAAATCTTGATTGAACCTAGTGAATGCTGAAAAGCAGCAAATAAAGTGTTCTGTTCGTTCATTCATTCATTCATTCATTCACCCTTGATATTTGACTCAGAGTGGTAAAATACATCAATGAACACCACTCGTAGACTCGTTAGTTTGTAATAAAGCCCTTGAAAGAAACCGTAACTTTAAAAATTATTCTCACCAACTCATTCACCATTAAAAGCAAAAGCTGATTACATACATCATTCGAGAGGTTCCTTCAGTTTTGAAAAGAAAAATTTAAAAAAAAAGTAATAATTGACGAGAAAATCTAGAAGCAACACGAGAACGATGGAAAAGATGGCGGCGGACCTTTGACGACATGCGGAGGCGCCTTCGTCGTCCAGAACTCGCAGACAGACGAGTACGGACCGGATCCGCTCTCATTGCTCGCCGACACCCGGAACCTGTGCCTGGAGGCCTCATTCAACTTCTGCACCTTGTGGCCCGTCGCAGAGCCGTTGAAGACAGAGTAGAACCGCCCCGGATGCTTCGGATTCTCCATCTCGAGCAAGTACGTGATCGGGAATGCGAGTCTCGCAGCAGCAGCCGCAGCCGCCGCCGACGACGACGACGAGCCGCCGTTTGCAGACACATTTTGAGTAGCGAATGCGGAGGACGATGAGGAGCCGCCCGAAGAGGACGAAGACGCCTGATGCTGCTGGTTGGTGATGGCGGCAGACGACGACGACGACCCAGCCGCCGCCGTCGATGAAGACGGCGACGACGACAATGATGAGGCGGATGTGAGTGAGGAAGACGACGTCGACACGTCGGTCCACTTGAGTTTCAGAGCGTTGTGCGTGGCGGAGAAAAGCTCGAGGCGAGGCGCCGGTGGCGGCAGTGGTCGCGTCGTCACGCGACACGCCGGCGACAATGGACCGGCGCCGACGCCGTTCACTGCCTGCACTCGTACTCTGTTTTCAAAGAAAAGCAAAATAAATTATCGTATCAAATATAAATATTCAGCCCACAACATTTCAAAAGTATCCGCGACGGCTCCTTTTCAGGAAAGGAGAGAAACGCTATTTCGAAAGATAAGAACGAGACACAAATATGACGAAGCAATTCAAATATGGTACATTTGAAATTTTACTAACGAATTAAAGATTTGACACTCAATTGAAAACAAATACATGAAAAAATAAAATATCATCTTAATTTTACTTACGACAAAAAGAGTAACTAAGTGGTGGGAGAAAATACGTAGTAAATAGTACACAAACATTAAATTAAAAAGTGAGGACTGTAGCACACCAATAGTAAAATAAATACTTAATAAATACTTAACTGTAGTACAAAACTAGTCAAATAAATAATGAGTAGTACAGAGAGAGTAAAATAAAATAGTGAATAGTAAAGAAAAAGTAAAATAAACAGTGAACATTACAGAAAGAGTAAAATAAACAGTGCGCAGTACACAAGTAGTAAAAAATAGTGAATAGTACACAACTAGTAAAGAATAGTGAAAATTACACAAATATTAAATGCAGGTAAACTCTATCCACAACAAAATTCAAGAGACCAAAAAAAAATTTTTGTAAAGAACCATATGGGGAGAGAACCTTATGGGACCAAGGATAAGTAATTCATTACATGGAAGAAAAATTGCTGTAGACAAAATTGATGCAGAGAGAGCCCACCTTCAGTAAAATATTTTTAAGTGGGCACATTAAAAAAGTTTCAGAACACACCACAAAAAAACAACCAATTATGTCTAGAGCAATTATGTCCATTATTTCATACTGATAGAAACAAGATCAAGAAAGATTTACAAGTACTGGAATTCAATGAAGAGACCCTTTCTGAAATATTAAAGGATCAAGATAAACTGTTGGCCTTATATGATTTATTATCAAAGATTCTCTCTAATTTGTTCATTCAAGTAAACCTCATACAGAAACAAGCTGAAAACCCCCCTGTGCCTGCCTTACTCAAGGGTGCTTGGTACTTGAGTAAATACGGTGGTAGACAACATGATTGTAGAAATAGTCCACCTGTAGTATGATAACAGCTGCAGAATTCTGCCTGCATACTGCTCTGAAGTGATTAAATGTCATTGAGTGGATTTGGGTTGGGTGAGAAGGTGGTTTGGGTGTGGAAATCTTGATTGAACTCTGTGAACGCTGAAAAGCGGCAAATAAATTGTTCTGTTCATTCATTCAACAACCAATCTCTTCTCATCCAGCTATCAATTGAAAATTGAGACCTCGCAAAAATGTCTGCCTTTAAGAGTGCCCCAATATAAAAATTGCTTCTAAAAGTAAGTTTGCGCTTCAATGAACTAAATGAAAGAATCTCTGAACTCTTCATAAAAGATGCAATGAGAGGGGCGCTAAAATACATGTATCTTTGTGCCCTTTTCTTCTGATTCCAGCCTCCTTCAGACTGTACGTCCGTCTTAAGACGTCGACAATAGTATGATGTCCACCTGATAAAGATGTTAGTACAACAGATGGTGGCATAAATGAGTTCATAGTTCGTGGGAACTCATTCCGTCCGTGTCCCCCCAAAAGTCTTGGAAATTTTGCTAAAATCTTATCCCATAGTAAGACACACACCCCAATTTTTAGTGAATCTAAAACCACAAAATTTCGAATATAAGAACAGAAAATTTGATTTCAGGCATGAATTGAACAAAAATCTGATCAATTTTCAATTTTTTCAGTACAAAAAAGTTTTCTTGTTACATTTGTTCCAAATTTCTCCATTATAATGAAGTATAATGCACACATAACTTCCTAAAACTTCTTGAAACATTTTTACCCACTTATGACGCTCACCCCTTTTTTCTGAAATTTGAAAAAAAAGATGCGCGTGATACTCGAGTAAATACGGTATATACGATTTTCCTAGTATAATGCATATTTTGTTGGTCCCATGCGGTTCTCTCGCAGCAATGTTGTACAGTATATACAGGTTCTCTACAACGAAATTCTCTCTGAAATCATTTCAATTCCCCATCAACAGCGTGTATAAACTTCCAACTATCCAAACCCACTTGTAGGTCGTTTCCGGCATGAGGTCCTCCAACGTGAAGCTGTCCCGACTCGGGTCCAGGACCTGGCTGCGCACCGTGGGCGCCACGGCGCCGGATCCCGAGCCCGGCGTCGCCACAGTTGCCTCCACGACATAGTGCGTGATGGGACTGCCGTTGCTCGCAGCTTGACCCCAGGTCACGTGCAAGCAAGTCGACATGTCGTCGGTGACCGGGTGAGGTCGGCAAGTGACCCCGGTAACGGCCCCGGGCACGGATGCAGGCAAAGTGATGCTGGACGCCGAAGAGAACACGCTTGTGCCTGCCGAGTTGCTCGCTTGAACTCTAAAAGTTGAAGAAGGAAAAAATAATATATATATATATATATACAGTATACTGCACTCAGAAGAATTTAAAAATGTTTTGAAGAAGCGACATCTATTGATGGAAACGTCACATGGGATTTCCTTGACGTTCGTCAGGTGTCGCATGTGATCTTACTCACATTTCATGAGAGAATACTGTGTTGATGATGGGTTAATGTGAGCATCCGTTTGAAAAATTTTGCGTTGTCCACATGCAACCGGGAAATTACGAAACTCAAAGCACAGAATTGACATTTTCCACAGTCGGGCGGCCATTTTTACAGGAGAATCGTCACAAAATAATTTTTGGGACACGATTTGGGGTTTCATTCCCTATGGTTCAGAAACTTAAGGACATTATTTCAGAATATGTACATTTGATTGAATTTTTCCCTGTTTCAAAAAAGGCATCACTTTTGAAAAAGTTCAAAAAAGGTTTTTTCAAACTATTCCAGTTAGTTTTCTCAACTAAAAGAAAAAGCTTAAAATTTACAGTCTGAAAATTGATTTTTGAGAGATTCCCTCCTCCAAAAAATATTATTCAAGACGGTCAAAATTAGGATAACAATTAAGAAAATAAGGCAATCCTCTGTTCAACATGGCAATTTTATCAATTCTCTTCCTAAATAGCAGAAAAAGTGCAGATACCTCACTATAACTTCAAAATCTCCATTTTAACAATTAAAAAAATCAATGATACGAATAGATAAATTAAGTGTTCGGAAAAAAACATGCCCATGTGTTCCATTCAATGGAAATGGAAAGAATGCCCAACCACGAATAGGTCTAAATTACAGCAATCCCAAAAAATGTGTGCAAAATATATTTCGGGAACATATTAGTTCAAAAAGAAAGAATCATTGCTCATCGTTCAAGGACAAATAAAATACGGTATCGGAAAATCATCTGAAGAATGTACAGTAATCTTCGAATTATTTTTTTTTCAAAACATGGCAAATGGGAATCGAGTAAAATGAATCAATTATATGCTTGTCACACCTGAAAGAATACGTGGCAGCAGGCTGTAAGCTCTTGGCCTCATGGCAGAGAAGTGGTCCGACATAGATGGCGCTGAAGTCGAGTCCTAAAGAACCGGAATCCTCAGCATCCCCAGCAGCAGTCACGGCACTTGGCGGTTGTTGTTGCTGCTGCTGCTGTTGGGCCACCGGCGCCATCTCCAACTTGTACTGTGACACAGCGGCGCCGTTGTTCAACGGCTCTTCCCACTCGACCGCCACAATGTGCGGAGACCTGGCAGCAAGCACTGGTTGACGTGGTTTGTCTGGTGGACCTGCTCCCGACACCACCTCTGTTGGTTCTGACCACGCCCCAGGCTATTCGAAAATAAAAGGAAAATAAATCGTATCTTTTTTTTTAAACCACTGACACTTCACAAACGGAACTGAGTGTCATTCAAAAAATGGTAATAAACATGAGAATCAAACGCCAACGATTTTCTCGGTAGGACTAATCTCATAGGAAAGAATCTGTTCTCTCAACAAGAACCAAAAAAAAAAAAAAAAACATACCGTGCAGCGGCATCAAAGAGATAAAGGACGCTTCATTAGACGCATTTTTCGCCAAATGAACGAGGTACTGCAATCAATTTTGTCTCGGATAACGGACATTGTCTCAGATAATGCTTTTGAATGCACAGTGTTTTTTCTTCATTTTATCGAGTACTGCAGCATACACTTCTAATTTGGAGACACGCTTTCTTGATACAGTACCTCGAAACACGGGAAATTTCGCTCACAGTTTCCGAATTATTCTCGCTCACACTTTTCGATATATTTTCACTCACACTTCCCAAAAAATAAATTACTTCATGGCATTCAATTTTTGGTTTGGTTATTCAGTCAGTAATCCAGGAATTTTTCTGGCATTTAATTTAAATTCTCATGAGATACGCAGCAAATTATAAAGCTTCACATTATTCATTTGAGACTTTTTTGGGGGTGTTACAAAAAGGAAAGTACAATTTCCACCAAAAAATCCCCCGCCATGTTCTCTAGCAGACTTTTCTTTTCATTTACAATAAATAATGTGATTTCAGTGTTCTTTGAGAGTGTGGCCCATGCGTTACAATTTCAACGCGAAACACTTTTTTTCTTTTGTAAATCTAAAACAAAAATAAACGCACTCCGGCTTTGTTGACGGCCCTGACTTGAAACAAATACGGCGTGCCAGGCAGCAAGCTCGCAACGACGCACTCCGTGTCCCGTCCCCGGTACGCGGACGCCGTCGTATTATCCGGCCCAGTCACGTCCACCTCGTAGTCCGTCACCGGAGTGCCGCCGTCCACTTCGGGCACGGCCCAACGCAAGCACACCGAGTTGGCCTTGGGCTTGCCCACGCAGCGCGGCGGGGCACATGGCCCCGGGCACACGGCCGCCGTGGACACGGACGTCGTCTCGGAGAAGTCCGACGTGCCGCCGGGCCCAGAGCACCGCACGCGGGCCCGGTGGCACGTGCCCGGCGTCAGGTGGTCGCACACGTGCTCCACATCCGCTCCCGTGTAAACGTTCTGTAATTTCGCAACAAAAAATCAATAAATCAATCAATAACATCGTAATTAAACGAATACAATACAGTACACGTGGATTGTACCCTACAACGAAATTTCACATGGCAGAAATAAATTCGTTGTAGAGACACTCTATAAAGACTGGGTAGAAACTAGTAAAAGAAAACAGTAAAATCTGTTTACAACGAACGCGTTCGGGACCTTAAAAAAAAAGCTTCGTCATCAACGAAATCAAAATAGCATGATCACCGAACAAAGACGAAAAAAACATTCGTTGCAAGCCTCAGATTCTACTGCAGCTCCAGTGTAAACGTTCTGTAATTTCGCAACGAAAAAAAACAATCAATCAATCAATCACATCGTAATTAAACGAATACAATACAGTACACGTGAATTGTTCCCTACAACGAAACTTCAAGGGAACCAGAAAGAAATCCGTTCTAGAGACCCAATACAGAATGGGTAAGAACTAAAAAGAAAAAATGCTCTATAGTAAAATCTTGTTACAACAAACGCGTTTGATACCTTGAAAAAAGCTTTGTATCAACGAAAATTCGATGAAACAAAATCAAAATAGCATGATTATTACTGGACAGGGACGAAAAAAACAAATTAGTAGCAAACATCAATCCATTAAATAACGAGATTCCACTGTATTGTACAGAAAGAAACATTGAAGACTTAATTCATTTTAGAGGAATTTCGCCGCAGAGAAACTCGATATAGGAAACTGGTCATCAATCAATCAGTCCATCAGTGAATCACATTGTAACCGAATGAAATCAATACAGCAGGTGGACTCCTCCGAAAACAAAATTTCAGGGGACAAAACGAATTTCATGGTAAATAGAATTCTGGTGTGGAGAACCTCTATATGATTGGCATAAGATAAAAAAAAATCGCTACTGTACATGGTAAAATTTCGTTACACCGAACGCTTTTGTGACCTTGAAAAAATCATTATAAGCGAAAATTCGTTGAAGCAAAATTTAACCGGCATTGTGGGTATTACCGAAGGGACTAAAAACAAATTCGTCGTAAGCATTTAATCCATTATAACGATATTCTATTGCACAGCATCAGGAACACACAAAAAACCTATACAATATTTCTTCTACAGTACTTCTTGAAACGAAAAAAAAACAGTAATAAAAAAGACAGCTTTTTCCCGTACCCGGAATCCAGAACCGTCGTCCAATTCAAGCTCATAGGAAGAAGGCGGACAACCGCCATCGTTCACAGGCGGCTCCCAAGTGAGGCGGAATGATTGCGTCAGCACTTTTCCCTTGGTCTTGGGCGCCGTTGGGCGGCCCGGCGCCTCGCACAGAGTTCGTGCCTCCATCACTTCCGACGGCACGCTCGTCCCTTCGTCGTTACTCGCCATCAGCTGCGGGACACGAGGACAACATCTTCACTTTTAGTCAAGTCTCTCATTAAATCCACCAACTTCATGACTATTTCAAGTGGCTTCATACGAGGGTTCTAGTAAAATTTCTCGGAGTAGCAATGAAAATGGCCTACAGTTGAGCTGAAAAAAATTTATTCTTTAGGGAAAAAATATTCTGTGGCACACAAAACATATCAGCCCTGTTGGACAAATTTTTTTTGAATATTTTTCATAATTCACCGTGGCAGAGTTTTGCTCTCCACTCAAAAGATGAGGCGCCCATTTTTTGTTGTAGCCCAGCTTTGCCCTCAGAATTTTTGAAATCAACCTGGCATTCTTCAAAAATTCTGAGGGGAAATCTGGGATACAACAAAAAAGGGAGCCTCACCTTGTTTCGTTGTGGAGTTTTGCTCTCCACTCAAAAGATGAGGCGCCCTTTTTTGTTGTATCCCAGATTTCCCCTCAGAATTTTTGAAGAATGCCAGGTTGATTTCAAAAATTCTGAGGGGAAAGCTGGGCTACATCAAAAAAGGGCGCCTCATCTTTTGAGTGGAGAGCAAAACTCTGCCAGGGTGAATTATGAAAAAAAATTCAAAAAAATTTGTCAAACAAGGCTGATATTTTTTTGTGTGCCACAGGATATATTTTCCCTAAAGAATAAATTTTCTTCAGCATAATATATTCATCAAAAGTAACAACAAAGTCTGTTATTTTTATTTGACACATCAGAGAGACAGAGACAGTTGAAATCATCTGTGGAAAAATTAAAAGCTGGCTTTTCTCCTAATGGTACTTCACATAAATTTTCACACTTTTGGAATAAATTATTTTAATTGTCCATTCTGAAAAACCTCTCTTCAAGCCTAATTTTCTGATTTTGTGAAGGCATTCCCCTATAGCTGCTTCATTGTTTCTTGACTTAAATTTTTCCTAAAAATAAGCAGAAACTTTTCAAATATTTACCATGAAGTTCTTCAAGCAAAATTTTTTTTTTAGTGGGAAAAACTTGTGAGAATTTGACGCTTTGCAGAAAATTTTATGAATTTTTGCCAGCCCGCTAAAATGTTTATGGAAATTTGCGGTCAGTGGACACAAAAACGGTTTTGGAATACTGAATTATTACAGCATAATACATAGCTTCGATTTAAAAAAAAAAGTTTTCAAAATATCCACGAAACAAAAAGTACCTCGTAAACAATAAATAAGAAACAAAAACAGATACAGACCCTAAATCTGTAGATCGTGTTTCGCTTGAGCTTGGACACGTGGCAGTTGGTGTCGCGGCCATTGTACTGCGGCAGGAACCCATGCGGGCCGCCATGTTCCTCCATTTGAAGCGTGAAGGACTCGTCGGGTGAGCGTCGGGTCCAGGCCACGCTGACGCTGCTCGTGTCAACGCGCTCGCACCAGGGGGCTGTCGGTTGACCCGGGGCTGACCCACTCGTCGACATCGACACCACCTCCGACCACTTGCTCGATCCTTTCAGGAGAAACAACAACAAAAATTACGACAAGAAAAGGAGAGAGAGAGAGAAAAATATATTATTGATGGAACAATACTAGTGGTGTAGCACGAGGAAAAATAAATTCAGTAAAGAATCGGATCACGTTTTCCCATTGACTTCAATGATAACTTAACTAAATGGTTCTCCATTTTATAAAAAAATTGAATAAAAATGTTTTCTCAGCTTTAAAGATGCTGACAATAACCGCAGAAAATCTGATTTTTCGGCATCAAAAAGAGATTAAAGAAGCAAAGAGCAAGAATCAGTCTTGCTAATATTGTGTGGCCCTTTCCCGAATAAGGCCCTCGGCCACATTGTCCGAGTTTGGCAGCACTGAATATTCAAAGGGGTGGTTCAAACTATTGTACTGTACACTTGCACAGTATTCAAAAAAATTTCCAGTGGAGGAAAAAATCGTACCAAATTTGTTGACTGCCGCGAGCCGAAGTCGGAGCGACATGGCAGGACTGAGTTTCGTGAGACGACAGCCACGCTGAGGGCCCTCATAGGCCACATTGAACACCCCGTTCCGCCCTTCGTCACTTTCCAAGATGTACTTGATCAACTTGCCGCCATTTTCAGTGGGAGGATGCCACCTGGAAAAATAGGAACGCAGGAAAAATCAAGGTTTTTAGCAAAATCAGGAAGACTTCATACATGTTTTTTAGGTTCAAGCATTTTTTTTAATGGAAATAAGAAAGATAAATTACAATATATTGTAATTGGCGATATCCTAGGCCAGTTTTCCCCAACCTTTTCATGCCTGCAGACCAGCAAATTTCCGTAAAATTTTTGGCAGACCGGCAAATTCTCAAAAAAAATTTCTGCAGAACAGCAAAGTTTCATAAAATTTGTACAGACTGGAAAAAATTTTGCTTGATAGACTTTATATGGCATATATATAAAAGTTGTTGCTTCTAGCAAAACTCAAGTTGAGCACCTATGAAGCAACTATAGCTGAATGTCATCAAAAACTTAGAAAGGCAAACATCAAAATAATTTATTTCAGCAGGTAAAATTGTGTCTGACACAATGTTATTAGGATGAAAGCCAACTTCCATGTTTTATCAAGTGATTTCAACAGTCTGTCTTTCCAAAGTTTTAGATAATGATAACAGAATTCATTGCTACTTTTAATAAGTGTTATGCTGAAAATTTCCCACAGACCAGCAAATAACTCCTCTGGACCGGCACTGGTCCATGGACCACTGGTTGGGGAACACTGTCCTAGACCATGTGCTCCCCAAGCCATGGTCCAAAGTATGCATAAGTTTTTTTGCCAGTCCGCAGGAAATTTTCTTCAGCATTAAAAAATTAATCAACATTAGCAATGAAGTCTGTTATCCTGGCCAGGGAATTAGGAAAGACTATGTCACTAGAAATCATCTTATAGAAAAATAAAAGTTGGCTTTTCTCCTAATAATGCTTCAGACAAATTTTCACCTGCTGAGAAAGATTATTTTGATTTTTCATTCCAAAAAACCTTTCTTCATGCGCAGCTTTCTAATTTGTTGCTTCATGGGTTCTCAACTTAATTTTTACAAAAATGCAGAAACTTTTTAAATATGTGCCATAAAGTATTTCAAACAAAACTTTGTTTTAGTCTGCACAGTATGTATTAAACTTTGCTGGTCCACAGACATTTTTCTAGTCCGCAAATTTTTTTTTTGGAAAATTTTTAATCTGCAGGCCCAAAAAGGTTCCACTTTTCTAGGCCTTCAACAGCTTCTTCAATGAGTTGACAGAATGCTGAACTCGGAGGCAAGGCTTCATTTGCCCAATTAATCTTTCACTCCCTTTCCCAATACATCAAATTACAATTTCAAATGCTTTTCTCTTTCCTGTCTCAACAAAATGGTAGCCAAGAAGCCTCTAGAAAATTCGAGTTATGGCGGTTTTGAATCGAAAAAATTTCGAGTTTTTTGATACAGTGTTTCCAAGGAAATTCGGACAGGAACTTGGAAAAAATTCAAAATAGCGAGGTATTCGATTTGGGGAGTTTCTAGTCATAGAAGTTCACCTGATGTACATTCAACACATTCCAATCAAAAAATAAAGTTTCTTTCGTCTTTCTTTTTGAAAGATACTTACGAACAATATCCTCCACACCAAACTTCCATAGACAAAAGTAAATATTCTTCACCATACAAGAACAAAAAACAAAAGCACGCGAAAACAAAAAAAGAAGATCGTACTTTAGTTGCAAGGCGTATTTGGATCGCTGTTGCAGTTTGGGCGGCGCAGGGGCATCCGGCTCACATCCAGCCGTGGAAAAGGTCACGGTGTCGCTCATCCGCCCTCGCACGTCCTCGTACACGGCCTGTATGCAAATGTAGTACTCCGTAGCTGGCTTCAAATCCGTCAGCTTACAGTCCCTGGCATCCCCGACGTAAATGGTCTTGAAGTACCGCGAGTCCCGGCCCTTGTCCGACAGCATCACGTCATAAATGACGTCAGTCTCGTACATTTCTCGGGCCAGGTCCATGATCTCCTTGCTGAACTTGCTTTGCTGCTGCTGCGGCACTTGGGTATCTTGTTGCTGTTGGGGGTCATTTGAGGGTTCTTCAGTGGTTTCCTTTAGTGGGGAGACGGTTGCTGCTGGGTTTTTCTGCTGCTGCTGGTCTTTGGCAGAGTCTTCGAGTACCACAGCGGCTAAAAGCTCGGTCAAGGCCGTTGGTGCTGACCACGCAACCATTGCGCAACGGGCTTCCACTTCAGATATCTGCTCCAAAAAAAAAGCGATGAATCACTAACAAGTCACTTCAAGAACATTACACAGCGACTCCCCCGCACAACGAAATACACATACAACGAAAATATATCGAGTGGAAAACATGACTGAGTTCACGAAATTATCTCACACAACAAGATTATGAAATTATTTGACACAACGAAATTACAAATGATTTCACGCAAATAAATTACAGGATTTCACAAAACGAAATCAGGAAATTACAGTACATTATTTTGCATAACGAAATCAGGAAATTACAGTATTTCACATACGAAAGTGAGAATTTTTTTTGTGAATAAAATATGCGTGAATTTAACAACGAAAGCAATTCCTGAAGCACAGCGACTCCCCGTACAACGAAATTCTCAAACAAAGGACATTTTCAAGTTGAAAACATGACTGACTCAGAAATTATTCCACACGAAAAAATTGTTCCGCACAAACTCTGCGCGAATTATAACTGCACAAAAATTCTTAAAATATCTCAACTACTGTACAGAACAGTGAATCCCCGCATGAAGAAAGACCCACACAACAAAAAACCCACAAAACGAAAATTTTTGGAAGGAAAACCATGACTCACATTACAAAATTACTTAACGTGTGATGAACTTATTTCGCTCAAAAGAATTCAGGAATGAAAATATTTTCCGGGAAAAAAATATTAGGAAAAGCATTGCTGTACATCTTTTTGTATTGAAATTGAAAACTTCTGAAAGTTATGAGCTAGAGTTCTTAGGATTACTTCTATTTCACGCTCAACAACATTAAATTCAAAATTTTTTGCTCAAAAATCAACGAATTCCGTGGTTTATCGTGGCTTTTCTTTTTCAAGTGGCTCGAACCTATTCAATGAAAAATAGTCTAATCTTGAAGAAAAATGCATTCCAAATGACGAAACTCACACAAAAATGGATTAGTTTCGTTATGCCAGGAGACCCAACTGCAATCGATTTTCCCCGACAAAAATAATATAAAATAAAATTAAGCTCCTCATTAACATCATGATTACAGACAGACGACTTTTCTTTAGGGAAAACGAAAAAAAAACCTCATCACTCAAACAAGTCCATTCCAAACTTGTTCAAAATATAATTCCACGCACTCAAGTTTCGATATAAACAGGGACGGGAATGAAATAACCCCATAAGTGCCATTCTCAGAGATGATTGATTGACAAGCCCGAGAAATCGAGTTTTTAAAAATAACCTGAGGTGGTTGAATCGTGGATAAGATGTTGATAAGCTCTTCCTCTTCTTCGTATTCAGGCCGAGTGTCGACTGGTGCTGTTCGTCCATTCTTGTTAATACTCGAGTCGCTCACTGCTTCCATTTTCAAGAAAACCCGTGTTGATTCCAAAAAATAAGATAGCAAAGAAAAAATGACAAATTAATTATTGGAAATATTGATTCAATGAACCAAATAATGTGGGGATGCATCAGGGGTAAAACACCAAGAAGACTACTTCGGAAAATACCAACACACGGAAGAATTTCCCGATCAAGTGATAAGCAAGATATTTCACAGTGAGGAGGAAGAAGAAGACAGCGAAAAAAATAATAAGAGTTGGAGAGGAAAAATAGGCAAATTGCTGATACAGGGGGAAGAACAAGCAACATACAAATATTTTGGAGTGAAAAATTGCAAAATTAGATTTAACAAACACAGACATTAAACAAAAAGAATTAAAAAAGTAAGGCATGGAAAATAAATTACAAAAATTGCTTATTGAACAAAATGAAATTACAGTTCGATCTAAGAGAAAAGAAACGAACGCAAATTACAAAAATAAAATAAAATAAGAGAAAAATTACAAACGAGTTTTGCGAGTTTCCCAAACAAAATATCACCATCAAAATTTGTCCAACCAAGGCACACAAAAGAATTGCCTCGAAAAGAAAAAAGAATTTCGTTACACTTCGATGATTTTGCACCCAGGAAAAAATAAGGTCTTTGAAAGATCTGCTCAAACATGAAGCTACACATCTTATCACTGTTCCCCCCAGATGGTTTCGAAAAATGTTCTCGTCTCAATTATTCGAGATAGCAATTTCCCACATTCTGTGGTGACTAATTACAAAATGTGGCAGCTGTTAAGAACAAATTATCGTGCTAAAGTAATAGAAAAACCCTGCCGCACTTAAAGTAAAGTTTCTCGAAGTATCCGCATTCCATTCGAAAAATAATCAGCAAAAAAATGTTTAAAAAAAAACCCCGGCGAAGATTTCTTTGAAGAATTCATTTTCCAAAATATGATCCAGATATTCCCAATTTATTGAAAAATTTTAAAGCACATTTCGCCGTTAAAATTTTTTTCTCTCCTTGACAATTGAAACAAAAAATTGTCCTGCAAACACGAATGAACAAATTGAAAACATTATTCTACGAGTTTTCGTCCTTCTCATCAACGACGATTTGGTTGTGACAAAAAAAAACTTCTCCTATAAATCAATAAATAAAATCTCCAAGTTACATTTGGAACCAAGATTAAATAAATAAAAATAAATACAGCAAAGTACACATGCAAGGAAAAATATAGATATTAAAGTACCAATTAAAACAAATCAAGACAATCGAAGCAAGAAGAAAAAAAAGGGAAAAATTGCCCCATCGTTCAGTATGAACAAGACCGAAGAATCGGAAGAAATGTACATATTCCGAACAAAAATGCCTGAGGCACACGGGGGAAAAAGACAAATCTTAAATTAGCTCGATTCGAAAAAAAAATCAACACTCGGAAGAAAACGAAAATTATAAACGAAAAAATAATACCTAATCGTTCAGAAGAACCACAGAAATAGGAAGAAGCGAGTTCCGAACGAATCAACCAATGAGCGAAATAAATTGCACAAGATACAGACAAAGAAGAAGAAGAAGCACACAAAAAACAAAAACAAGCAAGAAAGGAAGAAAAGAAGGAGGGAAAGAAAGAAATCATTTTTTTCTTTTTTTTTTCAATTCCACACGGAAATAGAAACCCGTACCCTTTCTGGGCGAGGATCCCCCTGCTGCAGGGTAAGCAGACGAAGTCGCGTTTGTCAATGGCATCACTGATCGCTGCATCAATTTCTGCTTCAGCTTCTGACTCTGTCTCCTCGCACGCTCGTCTTTCCCAAATGGAGGACTCCCTGTTTTAAAAATCATTCACGACAATCAATTATCCACAACAATAAAGTAATATACAGTATAATTGAAAAATAATCCACAACATAAAATTAATATAATTAAAAACTAAAGCCCGACGGCTTTCCCTTTTTTTGCTCAATTATTCACAACATTAAAGTAATATTACTAATATGCAGTACAGTATTTGAAAAAAATAATCCACAACATACAATTAATATAATTAAAAACTAAACTCCGACGGCTTTCCCTTTTTTTCTCGATTATCCACAACATTAAAGTAATATACAGTAATTGAAAAATAATCCAAAACAAAATGTATGCAATCAAAAATTAACCGCGACGGCTTTTCCTTTTTTGCTCAATTATCCACAACATCAAAGTAATCTGTCTACGGTAATTGAAAAATTTCAAAACATAAAATTAATGCAATTAAAAAATAACCCCCGACGGCTTTTCTTTTTTTGCTGCAAAACGTTTTTTTTTTCAAAAGAATCTTTAAAAACAATTATTTCCAGTAGAAACTTGAAAACAAATTTTCCCACTAAGAAGTGGACTACCTGTTCAAAAATTACCCATGAGAAACTAAAAATAAAAAAAGTTATAAACAAAATCAATCTTGCTGGCTTTACTCAATAAATATCGATGGATTTTCTCCGCTTCACAATAATGCAATCCAAGAATGAGATAAAATAAATACATTTCGTCATGTCGATCAAGATTACATATTTTCTGTTGAAATTGTTTTCAAATACAATAATGCAATTTTTTCGACGGTCTCCTCAAATTTCTCGCCGCTTATCCCGTAAATCTTAAACTTAATCGCACGTTCGTCTTTCTCATAAGGTGGATTCCATCTCGAGGATTATCAATATCAATAATCTTTTTAATAAAATAAAAAAGCGGTACACAACGTCATGATTTTCCTTCTATTTTAATCTTTGGGACTTGAAGAAAAGCCGGTTCTCAGGCAAATCTGTTTCCCGTCAAATGTTACGCTGATTATATCATGAATTTTGAAAATTTTAAATTATGTCAGGTCCCCTTGAGTCAGCTCTGTCAATGACGGTTCACATTACGCATTGTAATTTAATCAACTGCCGATTTAGGCTATTCAATTTTGCTCACTTCATGATTAAATTTCAGTATTATTTTTAAAAAGTATGTTATCTGAACTCTTCAACAAGAACAAAAACCAACTTCTGGCGACTCCGTGAGAGCATTTGATCGTACTTTTCAATTTTAATATGGGGTACATTTCGTGATGCCGACGTTTTTTTCAATTCAGTACACCGTCATGGAAGTCAATTTTCTCAAGATGGAAAAATGCATTCCACTGCACAGTAGCTTACAGTTAAAAAATAAAATAATGTTGTGCAGTATATGTTGGGCATGCACGCCAGGTAAAATAGCGTACCTAGTTCCAAGAAATAGTAACTTCCCCCCCTCCTCAAAATTGCGCCGTATCATCCTCGATGCTAACTATCTGAAGCTGATTATGAATAGTAAAACCTTGTGAACGTTAAATATAATCAGTAATATATAAGCTCATCATTCTTGACACAGTCAGATTAGATTCGATTTTGTCCTACGTTATTCCATTAATTCAAGATTGAGTTCAAGTGAGTTTTTGAAACTTATTCCAACCTTATTCTGAAATACATTTATCTCATTAACTATGAATTCCATAATGGAATCCTGGTCCTGTCCCAAACTGAGTAACGTGTTTTTGTTCTTAATATCATTTCACTTGACATCAAATTATATTGAGGCTTGTGCCCAATAGTATACAGTATAATATTGCACAAACCGTGGAGCAGCCGGGTGTGGGCAGTTGGCGAGGAATGGCGTCCATTCGGAGAACCCGTGGTCATGGTCGTGGCCTCGGCCATCTCGACGACCACCGGCGACACGGCCGACGCCGCCGTTGTCGACGACGGCAAGTCGCCACCCGCAAGGCCGTCCCCGCTGGCCACGTCCACCGTCGTCGTGAGTGTCGCCGGTGGCGGCGCCGGGAAGTGCGCCGCGTTGGCAAACTGCGCCGCCGACCCCGGCTGGAATTGGTAAAACGTCTGGCCCAAGCTCGGTCCTTGACTCGCTCCCGTTCCCTGTTCAACGAAAATATACTTATAAATAATGCGGATCGAGTAATAAAAAAATTTATTCTCGTACAGTGGAAAAATAAATCAATAATGAAACGTCAGAAATAATTCCAGACAATTGAAATCGATAATAAAAAATACAAAAAATTGGTCTCGTAAGGTGGAAAAATAAATCAATAATGAAACATTAAAAATAATCCCAGACAATTGAAATCGATCCCTGAATTTGCTGCTTTCAGCTCCTAAATTTTTTGAAACCATGAAATACTCTGGCGAAAATGCAGTAAATCCGGAAAATATTCTGCGCCATTCTCGTAAATTGCGAGATTAAATCGTGAATTCAACGATGAAAAGTCCATTCAAGTGTCTGCAAATTCAACGGCATTTTTTCCTACATATTTGCACAAGAAAGCAACTACCACTAGAAATTTTAAACTGAATGTGTTTGACCATTTCAAGTTGATGAAGAATACTGTACTCACGAAATTCAGTAGAATCTCGTTTTAATGAATTCTTGCTTACAACGATTCTCATTATAAAATTTCCCATTTCGCAAGTCCCAGTCCAATGGCGATTATGTTACTCAAATCACTTTATAGAGAAGATTATCAATATGGCAATTTTTCCCACAAAAGCTTCGTTGTATCGAGATTTTCTCTGAAACGAATTGCCAGAAAAAAAGTGTTAAAACGAATTATACTGAGATTCAATGGTTTTTAAAGACAGCAATTTTGTGAGAAGAAGGTTATAAATGTGTTGGGAGTGATTTTGCTCAAGATACTTGAATACTTTTACTCATTTTCAACTCTGAAATTGGAGAGAAAATTTTGAAGTGCCACTTGTATTCTAATGCACATGTCTTTACTCAATTTTTCTAATACTGCACTGATTTTCGTTTTTTAAACGATGATACCGAATTATATGAATACCATAATTTCTTCATTCCAGGAATCATTCATTCAAGAAAACCTACATGCTTTTTTTTGAAGAGGAATAATCTTCCTAATTTACTCTTCACAAGAAAGAAGGAAGCCATTACAAAATTTAAATTTTCAAATGTCTCCTTTATTGCATTTCCGATACACGCTTATTTCAGGAAATTGTTTGAAGTTTTTCGACCTATGACTTCCTAAATAACCGACCCTACGTTGATAATTTTGCCGTTGCGCAAAACGGAAATCCGGGGAATTATTTGATAATAGGCGTTATTTTGGGCAAAATTGTCAGTCTCTTCAGACAGTTTCATTTCACCATTTTCATTCGAGTATTTAATCCTTCTTAAAACGTGCACATGTTGAATTTTGTGGTTATTGATAATATTCAAGGTATATCCTTTTTGACCGAAAAAATCCTTTCTTCAGTCAAGGAAATTTTCAACTCGTTTTGACAGCTTACGTTTCTCATACGAAAAGACATTTAAATCAATAATGCACATCCAAAAAATGCAAGGCAATTACATTTTAGCTTGAATTTTGCGTTTTTAGGTCCAGGAATTATTGGAACAAATGTGTTTGACCATTTAAGCGGATGAGAAATACTGTACAGTACTCACAAAATTCACTGGAATCTCGTTTCAATGAATTCTTTCTTACAACGAATCTCATTATAAAACTTCACTTTTCAAGTCCCGGTCCAATGGAGATAATTTTATTCATCGAATAAAATTATCAATATGGCAATTCTTGTGGAATTTCGCGTTTTTAGGTCCAGGAATTTTTGAAACAAATGAATGATACTTTCGTGATATACATCAATACCGATAAATATCCATACCGTGACACGCTATTTCCGTGAGTGCAAGATTTAATCGTGAATTTTTAATAAAAAGCCTTTGTTCAAGCATCGGAAAGTTTAAACGACAATATTTTTTTTAGATAAACACAGGAAAGCGCTTAACCGTGAACATTTTAAACTGAATATGTTTTAAAAGTTCAAGTGGCTGGAAAATAGTCGAAAAATTCACCATGCTTTAATCCCTTAGGTGACATTTGAAATCTAAAAAAAACACACACACACGCAATAAAAAAATTAAAGGTCAACAAATTCGAAAGTTCACACAATCCGTCAGAAAAATATAGTTTTGGCTCAGATTTAAAGCAGATAATACACAGCTGCTTCGGCCAGCAAACAACTTGATCTCCTTGAATACAATTTCTCTCCATTTCAATCGTCAAAATAATTGTTTTTCCGCGAATAGATAAATCTTTCATTTTTCCCTTTTTACAGGACATTCCACAAAAAAATCCACTTTCACTCAGAATTAATTCCATACCATGCAGTGATTCAAATTGGTTTTAAATAACATAATAAAAATAATAATTGAAGATTAAACAGTGATTCAAATTAAATTTTAAAAAAACATAATTAAAATAATAATTAATGATTAAATTGTGAAAAAACCAACATAATAACATTTGTTTCCGTCGACTAAAATCAGAGAATCAAGCACTTCTTGAGCCAGCAGAAAAAAAAAAAAGAAACGAACAAAACAACAGAGATCCCTTTGATCTCCTTGAACCCAATTTCTCTCCTCCATTTAAATCGTCAAAATACTGTAAATTTTTTTGCGCAAATAGATGAACCTTTCATTTTTCCCATTCACAGGACATTACGCAACAAAATCCACATTCACTCGGAATTCATTCCACACCATACAGTGATTCAAATTAATTTTTTTGAGCATTAAAAAAATAATTGTATAATAGATAATTATAATAAATAAGTAAAAATACTAATGAAATATTAAATAATTAAAACTCACGTATGGAGCGGCGGGGATCTGCATCATGGCCTGGGCCGGAACCCCAGGAATGTACACTTGTCGGTAAGATCCATTCTCGTCCATGACCGTCACTGGTCCAGTTGACACCTGCATCGGCACCGGCATCCTCACAGCTGTTGAGTGTGTATGACCCATATTTTCCAGGTCAGGTCAGGTCATGTGGAAAAAATAATTTTTTTTTCCAGAAAAATACGGGAAACAGAACCCGAAACAAAATAGGTAAATAAGACAAAGAGTAGAGAGAGAGAGGGGGGGAAGAGAAAAAGAGAAACGTTGAATTAGACATGATGAGTAATTATACGCATAAAGTATGTGAGTACGATAATGAGTGTCCAAAAAAAAATTAGGGTGCAGAGGATCAACGTAACGGTTTTATGCGTTGAATTATCCCATTACTGTACTTGTTTCAAGTTCTTGTGCACAGATGTCACCTACGGTCGCGAAAAATTTTTTTTTAAAGGATTGTATTCTGAATTGCATCTGCTTCTGAGTTTTCAATTTCTGTGATCACATGAGAAATGCGACGAATTTTATATCAGACGGAATTAAAAAAGTATGTATTTAAAATGTAATTCAAATTTTAACTTCGAGTTGCATCTGCTGAGATTTTTCTTATTAACACATCAGGATTGCTACGAATTTTTGATTTGATATCAGGAGAAATTGAAAAATATATCTTCAAAATGCTATTCAAATATTCACACTTTGTTGCATCTACTTTTGAGATTCTTCTTGGATCACATCAACATTGTCAAATTATTTTTTTCCGATTTGACTCTAGGCGGAATTCCAACAGAATAAAATGACAAAGGCGTTTTAAAATTGAACATCAACACCGAGATGCAATTGCTCCTGAGATTTTTCTGTTATTACATCAGAATTGCTACAAATTTTCGATTTGATTCCAGGCTGAATTTCTGGGAGAATAATGATAAAAGGCATTTAAATTTTTGCACTGAGTCGAGTTCAACATGATTTTCGGGCGGAATTTCAACCATTTAAATTTTTGCTCGGAGTTGCATCTGCTTCTCAAATTTTGCTGTGATCACAAACTTTCTATTTGATTCCAAGCGGAATGTCGAAAAAAAGCATGAAGATAGCATTTACATTTTTACACTGAGTTGCATTTGCTTCTGAGATTCTTCTGGAATTACACCAGCATTCCTCTGCATTTTTGATTCGGTTCCTGACGGAATTTCGAAAAAAAAAATTGTAAAATGACATTTAAAATGTGCAATCGAAGTTACATCTGCTTCAGAGATTCTTCTGGGATCACACAAGAATATCTATAAATTTCCTCATTAGATTCTCAGCGAAATTTCGACAAATTAATCGAGAACAATTCTTTGAGCCATTTTCCAGTCTCAAGCTGAAATTTCGACGCATCGACGGTTAGGAATTCGCCACAAATTTCAAAACACTTTTTTTTCGTACATGTTTACGCTAGCTTTGAAAATTGAATAATCCTTTTAATTTACTGCACCATAATTATTTGGACACCCTGTGTATACAACGTGATACCGATGACAAGCCCCCAGTGATATAATGAAGCCAGCAATACCGAGAAAATACTGTCGAGTCCCCCCGGCGACACACTCAAAACCAACCAGAAGCGTTTTCCCCTCAAACATCACATACACACACACAAAAACACAACGACACACGAAACCGACCCTGAATAGGAACACGTGTACCCCAATGTCACGCCAAGAAGAAGAAGAAGAAGAAGAATAAAAAAAATGTCAATATAAGTATCGAAGATAATGACGAAAAAGAGTTCAGTACAGTACAGTAATTATTTTTTTTTTGATGGCGTCATGTCTCCCGGGCTTTTCGGGAATATTCCATCATTCCTCAAACGAGCGGATTGAAGATACTTGTCATAAAGGAAATTATGTCACGATGTTTAAAAAAAAAAGAAGTAAATTTGTTGATTATATCTGGATAATCCTCGCACAGTATTTCGTGGCGGAAATTATCGGAGCGATTCCTTCGGTAATTTTCAGGGAAGCAAATTTTTTCATCATCGAGACAATCTTGAATTGTTTGACCAGCAGTGAGCTGATCCAGTTTGTTTCGAGACACAGAAAACCACACTGCTGGAAGCTCAGAAAGGGCTAGAAGATTCTCGAATTATTTCAGAGTGTTCAAACCTTGGTTTGCTGGGTGTTTTCCTTTTATTTTTTGGCAGGAAAGGAAAGAAAATGAGTCTTGTTTTAGCGCATGGTTTGCTCACCCCTGGATGGCAACCTGGAGGCAGCAGGAGACCTGGTTTTGGGACTGGTTATCTTGAAATGGCAAGGTTTTATTTTTTCACCATGATTTTGGTGTGGAGTATAAAAAGTGTGACTTTTTTGTGGAAATCATCAGAACATTTTTAGCTGTGAAATCCAAAGGTTCCCTCTCATCTTGGGGATTGTTGTGAAATAAAACTGTTGTTAGTGGAGTACTTGCCTAAGTTCTTTGTCAAAATGTTGGCTTTGTTTAAAGCTTGATGTCAACTTTCTGTCTAAATAAGGTATTTTAATTCAATTCAAGAGCAGATGATCTTGAAATGGCAAGGTTTTATTTTTTTCACCATGATTTTGGTGTGGAGTATAAAAAGTGTGGATTTTTTGTGGAAATCATCAGAACATTTTTAGCTGTGAAATCTGATGGTTCTCTACCATCTCGGGGATTGTTGGGAAATAAAACTGTTGTTGGTGGAGTACTTGCCTAAGTTCTTCTTCAAAACGTTGACTATGTTCAAAGCTCAATGTCAACTTTTGGTCTAAATAAGCGCAGAGTTAAAAAAATTCAATTCCCGGTATTTTAATTCAATTCAAGAAATGTTGATTCAGCAAACTTTGGAACTCAGGGTAAAATCCCGGATGTATCTGCACCCTATTTCATAGATTCTTCTATGAAATAAAGCCGAATTTCAGGCCGAATTTCAGGAAAATAATGATAAAAAGCATTTAAATTTTTGCACTGAGTCGCATCTGCTTCTGATATTCTTCTGTGATCAAATAAGCATTGCTGTGGGTTTTGCCAAAATAATGACAAAGGCAATTTGAATTTTTACATCGAATTTGCATCTGCTTCAAAAATCCTCCCAAAATCACATCAGAATTGCTACAATTCTTCAACTTGATTTAGGACGGAATTTCAATGAATAATGACAAAAGAAGCATTTTCACGCATCAGATAATTGATGCGTGGTTTTCGCAGCTCTATTATCATGGGCATTCAATGAATCAACGCATAACATTCAANAATTTGCATCTGCTTCAAAAATCCTCCCAAAATCACATCAGAATTGCTACAATTCTTCAACTTGATTTAGGACGGAATTTCAATGAATAATGACAAAAGAAGCATTTTCACGCATCAGATAATTGATGCGTGGTTTTCGCAGCTCTATTATCATGGGCAATCAATGAATCAATGCATAACATTCAAGCAATAAGCTTCAAATGAAAACCACTTCTAAACCACTCGAACTTCCCAGCAAAGTTACAAACGCCGATTTAAATTTTAAAATATTTTTTATTGAAAAATAAAATTTATACTATAACGACAATTTTGAAAAAAAAAATGAAATCATCCACAAAAAAAATTACTCAAACCTGGTGGAGGTCTCCGTTGAACACCTTTTTTGCTTCTCCCCATTTCCGATGAAATCTCGAGAAATCACAAACGAGTCCCAGGAACAGAAAAAAAAACCAAACCGACGAAGTTCCAAATCGTCACAATGCTGACGAAAACGTGGCACTCATGATTTTTCACTGTTCCGTCAAATACTTTTTCACAGTCTGACGGGACTTTTCATCGATTAATCAATTACTGATGCGACGAACGGAAAATATTGCGAAGGTCATGTTCAAATGATCCTTCACTTTTAAAGATACCGTTCAGAGCCAATCGTTGCAGAAATGAACCCGTTGAGGAGAATCAGGTTTTATTTTTGTATCAAAAAACGACTCGAATAAAGGACTCAAAAAATTGAGCAAATTGAAAACTTCCAACAAGGGAATTTCCCTCAGACAAAAAAAAATTATATATATATATTTTAATTTTTTTAGTTATTTTCCTGCTCCTCATTTAATGATTATCAAAAAGACTTTTGTCAGAGATCAGATACTTTTTTCCTTTAAATTGGAGCATTCGGGAGTTGAACACGAAGTAGCATTGAACTCATGTTTTCCAAGCCAACTAAAAAAAATGAGTACTGTTATAAATTCTAAAAAAAAATATACTGTTTAAAGTTTTAAATAACTGTAATATGGGGAATGGCAAAGTAAAAAATAGCGAGTTTTCATAAAAGTAGGATCGATTGAATAAAAACAATCCAAAATAAATTTGGCAGATTAAGGCCTGCTCTTTTGTGGACTTATTTTTTTCTGCATTTTTTTGTGCAAATTCATCTCTTGCCTCTTTCGTGTCCGAGAAAATTCTCTTGGACTAAATTCAGTCAATTTCCTGAAATTTAAAGATGTCTCAAAATTTTTTTGAAAATGGCCGTTTTCCTTCACGTCTTGAAGAGTGAAAACCGTAATTTTGGAATTTTTCGAAACACCAAAAGAAGGGAGGTACAGTACTATTTTTTCCCCTCGCTTTGAGAAAACGGCAGAGAAATTTGCAAATCCGCATCAAATATGCAAGAATGCAGGGAATGTCGGGAACACGAAGCATAACTTCGTGCTTTTTCCTTATTCTTCCGCATTCCGCAAAACGGCGAATGAAGAAATATCATGGCTCAGAAACACGAGTCGTCTATTTCATTCCAAAGAAAGACCTTTCATAAAAAAAAAATTTTCAAGTTAAAAGCACAATCCGAAAAAAATCCCGTTTTCCCGTAAACTAAAATAGGAACTTACTAAATTTATTCCTCAGTTTTATAAGAAAAATAGAAATAATTCTTCTGAAAAAATTCAAACAAAAAAAACATTTTCTCAACTTTTAGATGCAGAAAACAAGAGCAGGAGAAAACCGTGCAGAATCTGATCTTTTGGCATCAATGGAAAGCTCAAGAAGAGCAGGATTCAAGAACAAGTTTTGCTATACAGTAATTTGCACCGATTATGGAAAACGATCAAAGAATAAGCAAAAAATTAGCATGTTAATAAATTCATATATTGAAATTCCTATCAATT